CAATATGTTGAGTTGTGACTTGTTGAAGATGATGGTTACTTTTGCTTTCTCAAAAAAAAAAAAAAGTGAAGGTAGTAACTAAAACTGTAAGATGTGTTACGATTAAGAAGAGGTATCTCCCTGTGCCATAAGAACCACATGAAATTTAACTATGTATATATTCTACGAACACACAAACAGCATTTATAACTCACACTGTTAGATTAGACAAACTAGGTGAAATGAAAGGGCTGAATTGGATACACTCACAAATATTTCAAAAATTAATAAATAACTCTTTGCAAAACACTACTTGATAGAACTTCTTGATAGGTATTAGGTATTCAGTAAGTCCAATTGGGCTGTAATTGTCAGAAGCCTTCTTATACTCACAGGATAGTAAAAAGTGAAGAACTGATAGCCCGAGAAAGAATAAAATACCAGAGTTACATAGCCCCAGCCTTGAAAGCATCAATTTAGGACTTGAAATCAGGAAACAAAAATTAAGGTTTAACAAAATGCAAATATTCATCAACAGGAAAAAATGTTTCCTGGGGTGCTGTGAGGTCAAGTTCAGGTCTGGATCTTATCTTGTCCCAACTGTCAGGAAGCATATCATCAACGATTACCCTAGTATCAGCATCCATATCATGCATTTACATGTGGTTACGTTTGGAGAGCTCTCCTAAAAAGAAAACACTGCACACAGTGGATGGTGTCTCCTCATCCTACCAAGTACAGCAGTGATGTGGACTCCATTTCTATCAGTGTGAAGTGGCTACAAAAAAAGCAGGATGTATTTCCTGGCACCTGTGATGTGCTTGGCACATACCTCCTGAGTATGTCCCCTTAGCTCCACCACGCTGGTGAAAAAAACTGAGACTCACAAGTTAATCAACTTGTTTAACCCCAAGGCTAGGGGTGTAGCTCAGCAGTGCAGTGCTTATGTATGTACAAGGCCCTGGGTTCAGTCTTCAGCAAACACTCACACATTCAAAGCCACTTAGCTAGTGGGTGTAGCTAGGATTCCAACTCATGCCTCTTTAAAATCCCAACACTCCCCCTGCATCAGTGCCCTTCAAAATAATTTCCCAGAAAAAGGAAAGCGGAAAAAAAAGTGATAGACCAGTTAGTTATCTAAGGAACAAACCTCTTACATTTAATAACTGATTTACATGACTGCTAATTCCTAAATATGTGACTTATGCTTTAGTATCACTAACAGAAATTTCTGACCCAGCTTCATCCAGGTTGTGCATGCCAGTCTATTAGGAACTTGAACACACTTTTCCCTTAAAACTTTACCTATAACAATCTTAACAATTAAAATAGTGCAGGTAATTTTTACCATCTTTGTTTTCTAAGTAAAATTTTTTACCACATGAAAGTACAAAAGCATGAATTATAAAGTGTGATGAATAGCTACTAAATGAACACATACTGATGCCCTTCAGAGAGAAAGCAGCATCACCAGAACCCCTGCCCACTGTTGCTAACGTCTCTTTCTTCTCCTGACCTCTATTACCACGGGTTGGGTTTACTTGGTGTTGAGCCACATGCAATTCTTTTATTGTAGCAATTCTCTTATGGCTCAACATAACTTTTATGATAGTGCGTAGTCAGTCCACTTTCATTACTGTGTGATATTCTGATGTATGCCTATGCCGTAGTCTACTCATTTATAACAGATGGACACTTACATTGTGTTGACTGGTGTTCCTGTGAACATTCTTATTCATGCCTTCAGAGGTACTGGTATCTTGCATTTGAAATTTTTCTTATTTTTATCTTTTATTTTTGGTGCTGGGATGGAACCTAGGTCCTTGTGCACGCTAAACACAGGTTCTATCACTGAACATTACCTAACCCCCGCCCTCCCGTTATTTGTTTATTTTTTTGGAACAAAGTCTTAGTATACAGACCAGCTGGCCTCAAACTGGTGATCCTCCTGCCTCACTTCTAAGCACTGGAATTACAGATATGTGCCACCATGGCCAGCTCAGTCCTCTTATTAAAAACAGAAACCAAAAACTATTCTTGTACTTCTTCAGAAAAGAAACATACATAACAAATTTAATTTCCTAAACATCTTGCATTAAACAAGTCAATAAACACATTCCAATTACCAGACTTTTCAGCTGAGGACTGACATACTTCGTGACATCTTTTAGCCTTAGTAAAATTCAACCTAGTAAAAAGATGGGTTATTGCAGAAGCAACTGGGGAGAGGGGGGCACGGTACAAAGGACAGCACTATTAGTCTACAAATAGTCATAACCAAATTCACTGCACAATAAAAGCCACCAGAAGTGCATCATGATACCTGCTGGTGTGGTGTAACCTGTTATCTTTCTCATAGGCCTGCCTGCCACAAATAGCAGGCCATCAGAGTTTTCAGGGGCATGTGTGGACAGCTGGGTGGAGTCTTTTTACTTCCTACATGGTTTTTCAATCACTATATAAGCAATTAAGGTAAATCAGGTGGATGCTGTACAACCATGCAGCCCTCTTTTTTTTTTTTTGGTGGTACTGAAATTGGTATGCCACTGTGTCCAGCTATTGGTTCACATGGGTCATGCAAAGTTTTTGCCTGTGTTTGGCCTCAAACTTCAATTCTCCCAATCTCAGCCTTCCAAGTAGCTAGGATTATAGGCATGAGCCCCCCTCACCTGTCTCTGAGCCACCTGTTGCAATAGCTACCGTACTGTATTCTTGGCACCAGTACCTTCCCTCATCTCCCACAGACCCAAACAGAAGATGAAATCCTCCTTTAAATCTGGAATCTTGGAATGAAATCCCTGTCTATCTTATGGTAACATTTCTAAGAATTAGAATCTTTGAGGTTCTTATAGTAATTATGAAATAAAAAGTGTCACATCCTGTTAAAGGATTTTAGGTAGTGGAGACTTTTATGTAGTGATTTTTATTGCCCCGAAAAGGCACACTTTGCTCCAAGCATGACTCCTTCAATACAGGCTACCTGGAGTGTATCAGAAAAGACAGCTGAAAGTCTGAACTAACCTGCTGCTTTCCTGTCCTTAACAGTTCACCTCCCCTCCCTCTACTCCAAAGCTCCCAGGTGCCAGGGACTGAACCTGCTTTAACTGTCGCCTCTGCCAGTATCTGATCTAGACTCCTGTTCTGTCTACTCCCCCTCCTCGTCACTGCAAACTATGCTAGTTGAGGGACTGTTCCCAGGGGCTCCTGCTGCTTAAAACTCCAGTGCTCAGGCCCCTGTAGCAAGAATGGGAAGTCATAGGTGACAAAGGGCTATGGGGAAGAAACAGCAGGATGGGAGGCAATGACAGAAGCTCAGCCTCAGGTAAGCTGAGCAGAAGGCAAGCAAACCTCCAATGAATAAGAATACATCTACAGTGTGACTGGAGCATGCACACACCCACTGGGTTAAAGGTGCTCACAACAGAGGAAAAGAGTCAGCACAATTTAGGTGCCTCACAATCAGTAAGAAGCAGAAAGAGATGCACTAAAGTCTGGAGGGGTGTGATGCTGGCCTTGATGAGCTCCAAGACTCTGACTGAGAGGCCAAGATTCCTCATGCCTTCACCCTGCGCAGCACTTACTAAGGTACAGCTGCATGCACTCTGGTTGCTTTTGGCCTAAAGGAGCCTATAGCATACAGGTGAGAAAACTCACGGGGAAACGCCCAAAGGAGGGCCCTCAGCACGTGGACAATCAGGCAGCTAGACACAGAAGGCCAGTGCCTCCACACTAAGATTAAAGGCAGGGCTGTTCCACACAGGTACACCTCCCTTGCTTTCAAAGTCATTAGGGCAAAAAGCAGACCCCCAATGTTGACTGCTCCCTCCCCAATTTACAAATGGGGACCATATAAGCCTCAGAGAGACTACTAACTTGAGATTCTGGAGCAAGTCTTTCTGCCTCCACAGCCAAAGCAGCTTCCACATGTAACATGCCACACTGTCACTTGACTCCCTCAAGATAATGTTAAAGATTCCCAAAACAGGCATGACAGCACACACCTGTAGTCCCAGCTGCTTGGGAAGCTGAGGAAGGAGGATCTCTGGGTGAGAGGGATTCAGGGCCAACCTGGATAACTTAGTGAGGACTCTCCACCTCAGAAAAAGAAAAAAGTATTGGGGGGAAAAAAAAAAAGCCACCTAACTTTCCAGCAGTCATAAGGTGACTGGTGAAGAGGTTGGTGACACAGAGCCTTTCTTCTTTCTATAAAGGTTGTGATCATGAAAACAAAACTTAAAGGTTACCCCAAAAACAACTGCTGAGTGTAGTATGTAAGTAATTTAATGGTACAGAACAATCTACAGCTTTTTCATCAAATTACCAGTTGTTTGGTTACCTTGAGTAGTTAGTTCAAGGAATCAAGTGTTGAACAGTGATATCACAAATCCTTGAAGTTTAAGACAAAAAGGAAACATTTAAAAATAAAACTGTGACTGTTTTTAAAAAAAAAATCTGTTTTAAAAAATTTTTAAACAGTATTTAAAAAAATAAGTTGTCTCATTTTAAACTTCTGTATTACATGAAAAATAGGTCTGGCCAGGCGTAGTGGCTCACTCCTGTAATTCCAGCAAATCCGGAGGACAGTGGTTTGAGACCAGCTCATATAAAAAGTTAATGAAACTCTCATCTCAACAAAGAAGCTGGGCATGGTGGCCAATCCCTATAATCCTAGCTACCTAGAAGGCATAGATAGGAGGACTGCAGTCCAGGCCAGTCCAGCCAAAAAAATCCCTCAAGACCATATTTGAAAAATAAAGTAAAATAAAGTAAAATGGGTGTGGCTCAAGTGGTAAAGCACCAGTCTAGGAAGTGTGAGGCCCTGAGTTCAAACCCCAGCACCCCCTCCCCACAAAGTCAATTCAAATGTTCTAGTTACCACACTTTTCAACAGAAGCTTGATACATACTTTGCAAAAAGTCTACTTTTAACCTTGGCAAAGCAATTCAAACATGATTTTCAATAATTTCACTGCTTTAATCAACTTTTCTTTGGAAAGATAAATATTTAAAATCAGTATTTACAGAGACTTGCAACTCCAACTCCCTGCACACCCACTTCAGGTCTCTTCCCTGCTCTCTGAGCCTCTGTGATAGAGAGATAAAGAAAATCATGTCAGCTTGGGACTTTGTTTCTTCAGATAAAGTAAATGACACTATTATATTTTGGCTATTTCTTCACATATGAGCTTATTAGTTCCATGTAATTAAACTAGTAATTCAATTTACTAACAAATTATTTCTTGCTTTTTAAAAAATAAAGGAACAAGTGAGCATAAAAGCAGGGGCGAGAATTCCAATAGGTCATGTCACCACATTTACATCCCCAGCAGTGGCATTATCTGTCAGAGACCACTTCTGAAACTCATCCAAATACCCTCCAGGCATTCTATCGAAGGCAGTGCTATTTCAATTTCCAACCAAGTGCACCTGAAAAAGCACCTATTAACTAAGAGCAGCAACTTATCAGTGACATAAATTATCAAGTCATGCATGCCACAAATGGTGCCAGGCATTCTGCTAAGTATTACACACAGAATGGTGAGCTAAATGATGCTTATAGAGTGTTAATCACAAAGTGAGATAAAGGCTACAAGGGCAAGGACGTGGAATAAAACCAGAATCTGATCTACACGATGCTGGAGCAGAGATGTGCAGGACTGGGGGTGGGGTAGGAGTGCAAGGGGCAGGTAGCTTGAGTATTTCGGGGAGGCTGTCCTGCAGGGGAAAGGCCTGGGGAGATGGTGGGCCAGCTGTGTAGCGCACAGGTGGAGAAGAGCGATAAGCACGAGCACTGGAAAGGTTTTAGAAGAGGGAGCGGAACACAGGGAGGTTCTCCTGGGGCTTGCACAAGGGCGCCTGTGAAAGCGTCCTGCGAACTGTAAAGCACTCTACACCTCCACGAGTACTATTTGGCTTCATACTTTATCTTCTAAATGAACTTTTGCACTGGATGCCAACTAGCTGAAGAGCAGCAGGCAAAACCCCAGCATTGCGACCAGTTTCTGCCTGTACTCCGCACCGCCGATCTTCTCGTCTGCCCCTCGCCACCTCAGTCAAGCTCCCCGCGGGAGGGCGGGCCCCGCCGCCCGCGTACCCCGCGGGACTGGAGCCCTAGTCCCCCTCCCGGAGCTGTGCCTCCCTGCACCCGCCGGGCGGCTTTCGTCCCCCGGCTCTGATGAAGCCTGGAGCCCAGCACCGGGGCACTGGGTCTGATGCGCGGGGACGGCCGCCCCCGCCCAGCTTCCTTCTCTCGAGCCCTTCGCCGTCCAGTTTTCCAGTTTTAAGCTAACACCACTTTGGGGCTGGGACTCAGTGGCGGAGCCCACCACGAGCAAGGCCGTGGGTTCCATCCCAGGCACCGCGAGAGGAAAAAAAAAAGAAAAGAAAAAAAAAACTAACAAAAACAGTAGCACCATTTTCACATTACTTTGAGGCTGGCAGAGTAGCCCGGACTCCATTTTCTGAGTAGAGCCCTGCAAGCCATCCTGAGAGGGCAGGTCCGGCCTGGCAAGGGCTCCTAGTGTCCCCACTTCACAGACTGTGAAACTGAGCCTCAGAGACATGACTCGCATAGGGCCGCGCGGAAAGCCCGGGCAGGGGCCCTGAACGGCGTCCAGGTTCGGAAGAGCTCGTCCCACGGGACGGCGCCGTGGGGCAAAACGCTTCATCACCTTCATCGCCACAGTCCCACCGCGCTCCAAAGCGACGCGTGCCGGGCAGACAGCAGCCGCCCACCGCGGCCCCGGCCCCGCCCCCGCCGACCAGGTCTCACGCCGCGTCGCGGCCTCTGCCCCCGCCCCGCTGGGGCTCCAGAGCACTGGGGACCGCCCTTTCCGGCCGGAGCCAATCAGCACAATCTCGGGGGCGGCACCGTACGCCCCGGCCCTCCTACCCAGGCACCAATTGGCTAGTTCTGCTGTCGCTCAGGAGGTCGCGCCCGCACCCGCCTTCCTCCTTTCCCTCCACCCTCCCCTTCAAAAAAAACGGCGGTTGGGTCGGGGCGGCTGTCTATGGCAGGCGGGGAGCGCAGAGGCGAGGAGTCCGGGAGGGACGGAAGGAGGGACCTCGGGGAGGCGGAGAACGCAAGGGAGGGCAGTCCGGCCCAGCCGGATCTGTCTCTGGCGAGAACAAGATGGCGGCGCTGGCGGAGGGCCAGCCGTGAGGCGGGGCCGCGGCCATTCCCCTCCGCCCCCACCCGCGCGCGGCCGGGCCGGTCAGGGGGAGCCCGCTCGCCTGGCTCGGCCGCGGGCGGGAAGGGGAGGGCGCGGCCCGGCCCACTATGCAAAGCGCCGGGCGCCGCCGCCCCGTGGCAAAGGTAAAAGGGCCGGGTTCACCGCCGGCGTCTCCATGGCCGCGCAGGCCCGCCCCTCGGCCGCGGCCCTGCCCGCCCCGACCCCTCTTTCCCGCTTACCTCCGGGGTTGGCGCCAAGGCGGCCTCGGAGCAGGTCCCGTGTCTGCGGCGGGCGGCCCCCGGCGCGGAGGGCAGGGCGCGGGGAGGCCGGGCGTCGGCGGAGGGCGGGAGCCCGGGGCCGCGGGCTCGCGGGGCGCGGGCGGCGGCCGGGACGCCGCGGCGGGAGCGGGGCGGCGGGGCGGGCCCCAGGGCGCCGCCGGGGTCGCGGGGGAGGGGGTTTGTTATTGTTTTTGTCAGTGAAAGGTCAGAGTTCGTGACCCCGGTGCCGCCGCCGCCGCCGCCCGCGCGCTGGGAGGAGGAGGGCGAATGTTCCTCTTCCTCTTCCCGGCGCCAGCCTCGCCGCGGCGGCGGGGGGCGGGCGAGCACGCGATTGGCTGAGCGCGCGCGCGCACCGGAACGCCGCGACCGCCGCTCGTCCGCCGGGCCGCGGGCCGCGGGGCCGCGGGGCCCGGGCCGGGTCCGTCTGCCCCGTAGCAGGCGCGGCCGCGGGGTCGTTACGGACCGAGGCCGGCGGAGGAAGAAGCCGGGGCCGCCGCGCACCGTTATCCGGCCGCAGGCCCGCCCCCGAGGGCGCGGCGAGCAGCTCCCGCTGTGACCGCCTCCGCCCCGCCGGCCTCCCGCCGGGTCCGGGCGCCTGCGGCGCTAGGGAAGTGTTTGTTGATTGAAGAAGCCGGGGCCCTAACTGGCACGGCGGACTCGCTCAGACACTCGCAGGGCGCCCGGAGGGCGGAAGCGGGTGGTTTCCTGGGTGGGCATTGAGCGCTTTGTACCTTCTCCAGTACCGACGGTCTCTAGTGGGGCCTTAACGGTCCGAGGGTGCCAGCTTGTCAGTGAACACGATCGATCGAGCCTTGTGCAGTTCCATGCCCCTCCGCGACTTGGAGCTAGCAAAGGATAGGCGTGCGTAAGGCAGCTTTTACGTACACCGCTGAAATTACTTATCTTTTTCAAGAATTGCTTCTTGATCTTACAACTCCTGGGTTTGTCTAGGTTTGTTTTCCTTGCATGCTTCTGTTTTTTAAGTATGGCTTTGACTTGGTTGGGGAGGTTCGGGCACTTACTCATGGGTAAATAAGGGTTTATCCTGAAGTGGTGAGGTGCACTCGCCTTGATCACGATGCTTGGTAGGCCACACGCTACTTCCCCTTCTTGCAAAGTGGGAACGAGAACTCCACTTGTAATGTCACGGTGCACCACAGACCATGGAGCTAGAAGGGGACTCGAGATCTGGCGAAACCCTCTCCTGACCAGGAGGTGAGGTGGGAGAGAACCAGAAAGGTCAAGTGATGTGCCTGAGGTGACAGTATTTTGATGGGAAATCTTTGAAAACATGGAATGCTTTGTTGTGTGCTTTTTCAAAAATTAAGTTTTTAATGCTAAATAATGCTTCTAGATAGCGTTAAAAATCACATCAATGAGTTAGTTACAACTGCACTAGATTAAAAAATGTTCCGGTGATGGCTTACAGCTTCCTTATTTTTACCTTACATTTTTTAGTTTTAATGTTGCTCTGTGAATGCTGCTGTCTTAAAGCGTCCACTCTACTTAGGTGCAGGAACTGTGGCCGAGATGAGTTAAGTGACTTGCCCAGTGCTGTAAGTGCAGTGAGGGAAACCAGGGCTCCAGTCAGTCCTTTTGACATTTAGTTCTGTGCGGTTAAATTCTCAGGTGGGGATTACTTGTTAAATATTAAAAGCAATAGCATAGCAAGAGTTTATAACATTGGTTCCAGCAGCTTTTCTTACCCTGAAAACAAGCATATGCCTATATATATATATATGTATATATGTTTATACACACATGTATACACACACACACACACACACAGGTGCGTACAGGATTAATATGCAACAGGCCTTTACAAGCTGAGGTTACACTATTGTGTTGTCATTCCCCACTCCCCCTTTTTCTCAGTGCCACTGTATTTTGACCAGAATTCTTTGTAGTGAGAACATTTTCTTTTCTTTAAACATGACTTTGTAACACTAATGGGTTTTAAAATCACAAAAAATGTACAGTGCCTTGTAAAGTGCATTCTATTATACTGTCTATTCTTTCTTTTTTGGGGTTTCTATTCAGAAGCATCCACATTTCCAGTGCTTTTAACATTGCTTTACCAGCCTTTGACTGGAGTGCACTTAAGAACTGCCAAGCCTCAGGGGTTCTGAAGCAGTAAGCTTCTGGTGGGGTGGCGTTAGCACTTCGCCAGGCACCACCAGTAGTTTGGCTGCACTCAGACCTAGACCTCTGCAAACATGCATGACACAACAAAACCAATTTTTTGTTTCACCTTTTGAAGTGTAGTTTAGAAGGTTATGTGTATATATACATATATGTATAAGTCTTTATACAAACTATAAATGTGTATATATACATATGTATGTATGTTTATACACACATGTATATACATATATAATATGTGTAATATATATTAATATTATAGTATATAAATATATATATGATTGTTCATCACCAGGGGCTGTGGTTCTCTAGGAACATGATATATGCCTGGCACTACCCATTCCTTGGGTATGCATTAACTCAGCACCTGCCCACACTGTGAGCCCTGCGTGGAGATGTTTTGTCTCTCTCCCCTTCAGTCCTAACATAGGTGCAGGCTGTGTATGAAGTGGGTATGAAAAGCGTTTCCCAGCAGCAGTGTGTGACAAGCCCAGCAGTATACTCATACTGTACCCATGTTTACGGATGGACTCCGAAAACTTTTCCAAACAGATGTGAACATGGGACTTACAGCTCATTGCACAGTGCCCTGTGGGGTAGACTTGGTTGTTTTCTCCTCTGCCCCAGCAGTCCTGAGCAGGTCGTTTCACCAGTGTGTTCTGTGGTCAGTCACACTGATTGACTTGTCTATGAACTTGAGAGTAGGAACTGTACCACGCAGTTTCATTTGTGTACATAGCAGAGTAAAAGTGTGTGTGTGTGTGTGTGTGGTTTTTGTTTTTTTTACTGTCTAAGGTTATTCTAAGTCTATGTTTAAGTGATAAGTGTTGATTTCATGAAAATCAACTTTTGATTAAATGATAGTTATGGATGTATTAAATTTAAAATTACTATTACCAAGCAGAGGTTTTTATTTTTAAAAGGCACTGCTCTCGTGACAGCATAAATAATGATTTCAGGCTGGAGGTGTAACTCAGTGGTAGAGCACTTGCCTGATATTGTACTAGGTCCTGGATTCATCCCCAGCACAGCAGGAAAAAAAATTCTTTCTCCTTTTTAATTAATAATAATTCTTGTTTTCTCATAGACTGCAAATGCTTAATGCACTTAATGCTTAATGTGTTAAGCACATGTAACTTTATTGCTTTTTTTGTAATAGCTTATGTTTCATTATACAATAATCATATTTTGTATATATTATTTGTATAATACATGTTTGTAAAATAAACTTTTAAACCTTGTTTACTTGCTGCTAGCCTTATTTTTTTTAAGAACATGGAATTGGAACAGATACAATCTCTGAAGGCCAGATTGCACATTCTTTACACTTACACATTATCCTGTTTAATCTCACCTTAATCTTATGAAGTAGATGGTATTATGCTATTTTTGCAGCTGAAGAGGCCAAGTCCTAAACAGAGGGAGGATGACTTCTCCAGTCACATGTTGAGCCAATGGTAGTACATTTATTAATAGTTATTTCTGTCCTGAAGGACCAACGGGAGGAAACCCTCTTCTACCCACTTCCATGATTCAAAGTCAAACTCTGTCACAGTCATCAATCAGGCCATTACAGGGGTCTCACCTTCTGTAGAAATGGCCGTGTTCTTAAGGAGAGAAAGATCCATGTCCCTGAGATGGATTGCTGGTTCTGGAACACAGCACACGGGAAGTACATTCCCCAGCTCCCTCCTGAGTTGAATTTACTGAGACACGTGCCCTTTAGTCTGACTGGGGCTTCCCAAGTCTCGAAAAGGTGTTATTTCCAAATTGCACATGGCTCAGATATCTGAGAGCAGCAGCTCTTGGTCTTTGGGAGGAAGTATGAATCTTGAGAGTCTGTTGGAAAATTAGGTTTTATTCTCAGAAAAATGGACCCACTTTGGATCTCCTGTTTTGAGAGTATGGGTTGTTTGGAGGGTGGTTTTTGTTTTTTAAGTGTTTTGTAGCTAGGAACTCAATCTTGGGGGTTGGAGGTGAGGTGAGCATGTAGACTTTGAGTCTGTTTCGAGTGAAGTATATTGCTCCCCTACTCTCACCCTTGCCACTCTCATAGGATAAACTATTTCCTGCCAAGGAAATAGGAGGAAGGACAGTACTTACTTGTGTAGTGTGGAACCAGGGATCTGAGTCTCCTAACTCCATACAGATAATCAACTGATCTCTGTCTTCCGAAACACCTGTGATGCATTTAGAATGGGCAGGGTCCCTTTTTGTGTCCCATGGTGTCCCCCTCTGTAGGCACACTGCTGGCCACTTTCTCCCCTGCCAAATCAGCTGCCACTTTGTGCACTTCTCTTCCAAAAACAAGTTGACACTTTCTGTACCCTAATCTTTCACTTTTTTTATTTGGATTATGTCTTTTTATTCCTTTTTTGCCCTTCATGAGTTTGGGGGAGGGAAGGCCAGAAATGTATGTTTTGTGGTTTTTACTACACTATAAGCATACCCAAACTCAGTTACTTTTTAGAAAAGTATAATTTTGGTGTTCTAGGGCATCAGATGGGTGATTTTCTCAGGGCCCTCAGGTTGCAGACAGTGGCTGGAGCAAGAGTCATCTGAAAGCTCCCTTCCATGTCTGGGGTTGATGCTGTCAGCGTGAACACCTGCATATGGCCTCCATGTGGCCCTGGCTTCTTTATGGCATGGCCCATATATTCCAAGGGTGAGTGGCACAAGAAAAATGTGGCATTTTTATGACTCAGTCCCAAAAGTCACAGAGTCACTTTCTCTACCCCTTACTGCAGTAATCAGGAAGGTCTGTTCAGGTTTAGAAGGAGGGAGCAGAGATTCCACTATACCAAAGCCATGTCAGAACAAGCAGGAGTAGGTCCATTAAGGGCAGCTTGGACAGAATCATCCATACATGTGTTCAGTTTATCTTTAAATGCAAGACCAGAATAGGCTTTCTAAAACTTAGGTCTGTTCTTGTCACCTCCTATTTTAAAGCATCTAAAGGCCCCAAATGACCTGACCCCAGATGGCCTTTCTGTGTCACCACTTTTGTGACTTCTCTGAACTTTGGCAGTTCCAAACTACTCTATTCCCTGAACGTGCTCCATGGTGCCCTCATTATTACACAATTTACTGTGCTCTCTGCCTTCATGAACCTCTCTAGCCTCCTCATGTCACACCTAGCACAGGTAACCTGCCTCAGGCACAGGCCACTGTTCATTCTCCCAGGATGCCTTCTTTGTGCTTCTTGCCCTTAGTGTATGTGCCTGGCCTCTCACATTGTGACCTGCTTGGAGTAACTAAGCATGGGTCTAGTGCTTAGTATATGCCAAGTACCTGGGTTTTTGTAGTATCACTGTCCTCCAACTCTTAGCTAGAGTAACTCCATCTTGCAGCAACCTACCATTTAGTTCTATGTGCCATACTGCAGCACAACAAGCTCTCCTTCCCATGGTTTGGCAGTATCTGCCGAGGTCAGCAAGACCCATGATAAGGGCAAGGAGGGAGTGTGTGACACTTTCCCCTGGGAAAGTGTCTTACAGTATTTGAGCCTGTAGTTGCTTCTACTGTTTTAGTTTGAAGTGGTGGTCTAAGTCTGAGTTTCTCCTGTAGACTTAGAG